GGTAATAACGGGAATTGCTGCATTATTTGTCTGTCATGTTACAGTTGAAAATATCTAGTATTCATGAAGTATGATAGTATTATCAGACAAAAATGGAATACCAAAACCAGCAAGAGACCTATTAAAATAAAATAATTGAACTGAGCTGCATTCAGCTGAAATCAAATAGCTGAAGAACACATCTTTCATTTGCAATGCGTCTTGGAGGGAAAGGAAAAAAAGCGTTTACTAACAGCAGCAGTATTTAATGGGCTTTTAAATCATCTTTTGGAAAATGTCTTTATTGTTTTGATCTGAAACATCATTTAAAGTAATATCCACCTCCACAGAATCCCTTGAGGCAATTATTGGCCTTTCTGATCTTGCCTTGCTGTATTAGTTCTGCCTATGTGTTTGCTTTATGTGAGCTTCCAGAAGCAATTTTCCTCAGAGAAGAAAATGCATAAATCCTTGAAGGTTAACTTGGGAGAACTCTGGCTTTGCTGGATGCCTAAGGAATTTCAATTGCCTTCTGAAACCATCCTGTTGCTTTATAAATAACTCTCCGAAGTCTCAAGAAATCTCCCTGTCTACGAGTCATGTTTTCTCTCCCTTTCAAAGTGTATAGTGTTCTCTTTAATAGGGAAGTATTTCTTCCTTCCCCACTACTTTTTGTGATTATCCCTGCCTAATGTCACATGCTGTCTTCTGTGGCTATTCTGCAAGTGATGTGTTGTAACAAACTGAAGTTCTCAGTAGAAAGAGGAGTGACATTTTTAGGAAATAAACCTCCTATTTTAGCCCCCTCTTTCATGAAGGTATATAAATCTCTGCCTGTATTTCTGAAGTCCAAGGAAGCATTGTCCCTTTAACATGTCATATACTGAAATAAAAGAATTTACAGGTTCCCCAGTGTAATTTGAAGGAGCAGGCTTTAATACAAGCAAAAGCATCTTTCTCTCCACCCTCTCACCCATGGTGCAATTTGGGTCTGGAGCTTGCTGCAGCAGCATGTTGTGAACATGAAAAATATACAGAGGCTTAAAAAGTGAAATAGATGATCAAATGGAGAAGAGGTGAACCAGTGCTAATGGGCAGTGGTCCAGAGGGGACCTTTCGTTCAGAAATATCTGCAACTGATGATGGCTGGGAGGAGGAAGGAGGAAGGATTACTCTGTGTGTGTGTGTGTGTGTGTGTGTGTGTGTGTCTCCTGCCTCCATGTTTAGGGAAAGGGTATCTCCTACTCATAATTTCTAGAGATGGAGTATGGATTAGTTGATATCTTTTTGTCTGTCTTTGTGCAGCCTCCTTTTGTTTTTGCAAACCATGCTGATTATAAGCCTTATTGGAAGTATGATTTAATTCCACATTTTCCTGCTAATGGATGTTTAAATATAAACAGTCAAGTGCTCTGAAAACCAAAATTCTGTCCTTTGATCAGTAATCTTGGGTAGTTTTCCTTGTCTATACAAAGATGCAGTAGAGCTGCCTGCCTGCCTTCTCACCGCTGGTCAGCCAGCTTCACCACCAGGCAAAGCCTTCACACCCCCCCCCCAGCACGTCCCAAGCTGCTCTGCCCCAACCCTCTCTTGTGGTGCATGTGACAAATGCAGATGAGATGGGAAGTGATTGATGTCCGAGGCACTAAGATGAAAGTTTTCATGCATTAACTGCAAACTGGAAGCTTTCTTTATTGCTGGAAAATGAGCACAGGCTCTTCCTTTTGATCTTAGCTTCTTAGTGACTTGTGGTTGTTCTCGTCTGCCTTGGTACTTTCCCAGCTTCTTTCTTTCTTTCCCTGATTTTCCTGTGTTGTCTTGTAGGTAAAAAAAACAGCAGCAGTCTCTGTGCCAGGGTTTGCAGCCAGAGTCTTAAAATGTCAGTGTTCTGCATATGCCAGGCTGTGGCTGAAACTTAGTAGATGGGTGTCCCTTTTATGGGCATACTCTGTGTATATAAAGGATGAGGGAATAATAGTTAAGAATTGGAGGAAATTTATTTAATACAGGCTTCTGGAACTGTCTCAGCTGGTCTGAATTTCCCTGATGCTTATCTGTTCTTGATTGTGCTAGTACATATCATTTGCTTATCCAGGTGTTTTTCTGTAAACTGAAGAAAATATAATCTGTGATACTGTTGAGATTAAAATCTATTATTTCAGCCTGATCGGATTTGGTAAAGCTATAGCTGCCATTGAATGCCTACATTCTAGAAATAATTTTTTTATGAAGCAAGCCTGCCAAAAAATGAGATTGAGATATTTATTATGCAGAATAAATCTAAAGTATGAAACAAGGATTTTTGTACTACTTCTTTATTGGAGAAGCCTTAACCATGGCACTGCAGTTAATGCCTCAATAAAAACTATAGACCTTTTCAATAAAAATGTGGCTGCTGTTCAAAAGTGGTCCAAGCTACAATTTCATGGTTTATGTCAGCAGAGCCCATCGATTGAATTAAATTCTTCTACCAACTCCAGACTATTTATTTACCTATACAATACCTTTTAGAGCAATGCGTAAGAGCTGCCCTAGATCATTTAGGGGCTTGCTAGCATGTTGTGAAGTGAGTCTGTACCACTTGCCTAAATCTCAGCTGAGCTGGTAGCAGCTTTATCAGGCTGTTGAGCGGTCTCTGCAACGTACATTGGTGAAGTTCAGCATAGGATGTGCCTGAAAATATGCAATTATTTTTCTTTACCTCTTCCACCTTCAGAAGAAATTACTCCTGGTCAAGGTGAGACATTGGGGACACACTCAAACATGTGTAGGTTCACATCCCTTAGGAAAGCTGGCTTCTAGAGTTGCCTGTTGGAGCAGCAGGAGCACTTTGCAGGCTCTCCTCTCTTCTTTCCTTTTCTTTTTTCCAGATGGAAGGTACAAGGGAAGTTTTAGTTTTTCATTTATAAGCACACTGATATAGCTAGAACATAAGGAGTTCCCTGCTGACGCACATTCAAACATGTTTTTCTGGGTATTTGTTATTTTGTATTAGATGGCTGATAGAATTCCTGAGGAATGCCTGGAAAAATGCCCTGAGTTATCACTAGAGATATGTTTCAAGGCAACAGCCAGTGTAGTCAAATCACTGCAAAAGATTTTGCTGAGTGGTAAATAAAAAACAAGTCTTTCGTAGACCTTTATGGGTGTTTCCCTCCTCCTCTCCATTCTTCCTTCTTCCAATCTAAGCTATTTTGTAGCACTTAAGGAAGAAAGTAAATGTAATAGCTGTCAGTCAGTTGTTTTGTATTCTTTTAAGAAAATTAGGAAGGATCAAAGAATTTCATGAAGTCTGTGGAATTTGAATTCAGTGGTGTAAGATGCTCCCTTGGCTCTCTGATTTTAGAGTACTGTGGGCACAATATAAGTGAATGAGAACAAAACTATGTTTTTATATGACACTTAAGTGAATGAGACAAAGACTGTTCAGTAGTGAAAATAATTTTACCAAGTAATGAAAATGAGTCATAATGACTTAATAGATGGGTCATTTTGGAGAGTGTTTTCCTTTCGTCAGTTATGTCTACCTCTTCTTTTGAGTAGCAGCAGTTTTAGGTAGCTTGTTTTTGGGCTGCTTTTCAGGGGATTATGTTTAATGGTAAATGGCTTGTTATGATGCAGTGGGTAAAAAGAATGTGCCTGTAAAGTAAAAGTAACAAAATTCAATTGTTGCTTAGATGACTACATCTTATTTCTTTTTTCTTAGCTGTGCATGCCCAAAGGGCTGTCATTCAGGACACAGGCAGATAACAGAGACCCACAGCTCCATTCGTTCATCATCACCAGAGAAGATGGCTCTCGTACTTACGGGTTTGTGCTCACCTTCTACGAGGAGGTCACGAGCAAGCAAATCTGCACAGCCATGCAAACACTCTACCAGATGCACAACGCCGAGCAATACAGCAGCGTCTGTGCCTCCTCCTCGTGCAGCATGGACTCCCTGGCCAGCAGCATCGATGAGGGCGATGCCACTTCCCTGGCTAAGCTCCAGCGGTACAACTCCTACGACATCAGCAGAGACACACTGTACGTCTCCAAATGCATATGCCTCATCACCCCTCTGCCCTTCATGCAAGCCTGCAAGAAGTTCCTGATCCAGCTCTACAAGGCGGTGACCTCCCAGCAGCCTCCGCCTCTGCCTCTGGAGAGCTACATCCACAACATCCTCTACGAGGTACCCCTGCCGCCCCCGGGGAGGTCGCTGAAGTTTTATGGGGTTTACGAGCCCATCATTTGCCAGAGACCTGGGCCCAACGAGCTGCCACTCTCTGACTACCCCCTGCGGGAGGTCTTTGAGCTGCTGGGCCTGGAGAACCTGGTCCAGGTTTTCACCTGCGTTCTTCTGGAGATGCAGATCCTTCTGTACTCACAAGGTGAGCACTCGTCCGGCGATGCTGTCACGTCTGTTCTCAGCATCTGCAGCCCCAGGAGCTAATATAAAGCTCTTGATTTTCAATGAATCAGTGAAACGTGAGAATGTAATGCAAAAATGTGAGATAAATGAGTCTGTCTGAATGAAAACACTAAATAATTGTTTCCTCCAGGCAGTCTAGGTGCTGCTTGTTTAATTATGCATTGTATTTATCACTTGTGACAGCTAGCAATAGAATTCACTTAATTATTATCCTTACATTGCTCTTGATCATGCTGCAAGACAGCATGAAACTAATTCTATCTTCTGCTAAAATACCAGCAGAAAGTAATACATCTTGCAGAGCACACTCTTGCTACTTTCTTTTTCAAATTTCAGCAGCATATTGAATTTGGTGAGATTTCTTCCCTCTCTCCCTCCTTCCTATAAGATAGATATGTTCTGGTTAAAGCACTGAGAGTTTTTTAGCACTTAGAGTGTGAAGTTTTAATTCTGGGTTTGATCCAAGTGGAGTTACAGGGCATTCCTTCATAGTCATACTTGAGACATTTGGGAACTTTTCTGACAAGGATGCTGGTATTTCTTTTTGAGGCATTTAAGATTGCAGTTGGCAAAGGTTTGCTGCATTGGCAGAAGTTGCTTGCGCAGAGCCTCTTCACGCTGATGTATGCCAGCAAGCTTTTGAAAATCTGGCTTGTATTCTCCTGGTTGTGTCTTTCTGCAGCACTTTGCTACAAGGTTTGGGAAGTTTGACTTAGTGCTGGGCATGCTCTGAGGTTTTACACCCCTGTTACTGTTTCCTGTATGGTGATACAGGTGGCTGTGAGTCTGGCCCTCATGGTATTTGGGTATCAAAATGCATGTGCTACAACTGTTGCAGTGCACCAGAGTGACTGAACAAGTCAAGTTTCCATTTCCTGCTAACTTTCAAAGGGTTATTCAGACTTTATGAAGGTTCCTCTAACTCTCAGTGGATGCCTGTCCAAATTATTTGGATTCCCAAATGACTTCTGTGGTGCTGATGCTATATTAGTAAAAGGTGCCTCAGGGAAAAAATTCTGGGGGTGGTTTCATCACCAGAATGAACAGCATGAAATGAGGAGACACACATCTTTTAACAAAAAGAAGAAAAGATGCTGAATACCTGGGCTTCTTAAGAGATTTAGTTCAAGCAACATCTCAAAAATTGGACAGCTTGAAGTGGAGAGGAGAGAAAGGATGGGAAGTCATCTAAAATGAGTACGGGTAATGAACCTTCAGGCTCTGAAAGTGAACACTTGGGTTTGTCATATAAAAGCAAAGGTCAGTAAGTGTGTAATAGCGATACTAATGAATAAATGACTGAGAAAGGGGAAAAATGTTCAGGGAGGTGGAAGGAGGGCAGTTCTTCTGCAAATGACTGAATTCAAAGGATTGCTAGTTCTTTGTGGAGCACTTCTCCACATGGGCTCCAGGGGTTTGCTTTCAAGAACTGAAAATGAAGGGCTTTATCTGCTCTGGGTTTGAAGTGTGAGCAGAAATCCTGCTGTTCGTTTTGATTAGGCTGCTTTTCCCCTCCCTTCTGCTTCTGTGTGTGTGTGTGTGTGTGTGTGTGTGTGTGTGTGTGCTCACTCCTTTCTTCCTCAGTTTGAATCGTGCTGCCTTTGCCACTTGTCGCCGGGGTTCAACTTGAAGCAGCCACACTACTGAAATGCCTCCCCATCTCTGCTCATCATTCCCACCCTAGTCCTTCCTTCTGAACTCACTGAAAACTGAGGGGTTTTTTTTTATTGTAAGCTAGTGGCATTTGGAAAAAATCTGCTTGTCAGATAACATTTTAGTAATATTTTGTACAGATGGAGAGCAACCTGCATATGCATTACTTTTGCAATAGTCCTTGAGACAGACACAAAATATCCACTAAATAATTTTGACTAATTTCAATGCCACCAGAAATTTGATAAATAAGTGTTTTTCTTCCAATTACTGGCTAATTTAAGGGTTTGCTTGTTTCGTTAGTTTTCACTGTGGGTTTGTTTTTGGTTCTTTTTGAAGGAAAAATGAGATACTGAGAATTAATCCTCTTCACTCTCCAAAATTCAGATCTCCCCCCCTCCATTATTGGAAAATCTAGGGATGTCCTTGACACGACCTTTGCTTTGCTATCTAATACAGACACAACTTGATGGCACATGGGGAAAAGCGTGCAGTTGCGTTGGGGTAATTCTCTGATTATGTAAATAGCATCATAATGCTGGATCCCAGAGGTGAGGAATGTGGAGTGGAGGTCAAGTGCAAAGCCTCAGTTTTGGCATATCCTGATAGCTGAGTGCTTGGCTAATTGTGCACTGCGGCTTCTTTTAAATGTCAGTCTTGTGATTCCTGAAAGAGGAAAACAGAGCAGCTCTTTTCCTATTTGAGATATAACTAGGCTAGATACTACTGAAATCTGCTCTCTAAGCTTTGAGATCCATCAGGGAGAAATGCCTTCTTAACTCCCAAATCCTTTCAAGGCAAAAGATGAAAAGAAGTTTTTGGCTTATATATCTCTTGTTCAAAAGTAATGAATAGAAGAGGGATTTTGCAAATTTGTCCTTCCTTCCCTTTCTGCTTTAAAGAGGATGGACTCACTGGAGTGTGTTTCCAGTGGCCTGGCCTTACTGCAACCTTCCCAAACTCAACAAGAGATCAGTAGAAGATGGTCTTGCATCCACAGGGGGCAATTTCAAGCAAGACAGCATTATGAACCCAAAGTCAGCATTCAATGCAATGCTCCTGAAACCAGAGCACTGGACCAAAGCCTACTTCAGTTCACCAAACTATTTTGGTGAAAATGCTGCTAATAACATGTGGGAAATGTAGGCTAGCTTTTTTTGTGGTTCTCTGAGCCTTGTTAGAAGGAAGTTTTTCATTCAAGCTTGGCAAAAATTTTGTTGTTCTTTTTAAAGAACAAAGATTTCATTTGGAAAGTAGAGTGAAAAATATAAATTGCTGCACAAACGTGACCATGCAATGAGCCTGCTGAAATTTCTCACTAAACGTCTGTCAACTAAAGGCAGATTACTTTTTGTAGACAAGAAAGAGTAGGAGGGATATGAAGACTGCAAACACAGGACAATGTTATAAGCCAGCATGGGCAGTGGGCTGCCTGAAGAAAGGGTGGTGGTGGTGGTGAAGTGGAGTTGCACCTGGTTGGTGATAACAGCAGTGAAAGGCTGGGAGGAAGGTTGCACGGAGGCTGTATTGGCTTTTCTGGAGTGTTTTTTCTCCAGTGAACTAGGAGCTGGTGATGAAAAAGTTTATTTTTAACCCTGTAGCTGAGGCATAATGTTTCCAGCAGCTCAAACAAAGGCCTCCAACTAAATGAAGAGGTGAGGGTGTAGAGTGACTTTACCCAGGTTGCCCTGGATGTGTTCCCAGCACAACACGAGAGTGTCTGGCACGGACAGCAATTAGATACCCAAAGTTTACAATAGCAGCCATAGTGCAAACAGCTAGTGGTAGGGACAGGACCAATTGCTCTCTGTTCATGGTGCTTTACAGCTGAGTGGTATCCCATCACTTGGGCAAATGAAGGGTTTGCAGTGGATTGCAACTTCACTTTGCAGCTGTCATGGTCAAGTAGAGGGGTGGAGAGACTGACGTAAAAGAATTATGAGCTCATTTTTGGAGCTCATTTTTTAAGCTCTTTCAGTCCCAAACATTTTGGACTGCAGGCAACTACCTTAATCCTCAATTTCTCAAGTTTATGGTTTAAATTTTAAAGTAGCCTGATGCTACGGAGCTATCACTATGGCTTTACAAACCACAGTTCGGGAACTTCTGGCACAGATAATTGTGTCCTTCTGGGACAAAAACAACTATGAGCAATGCATTTCAATCTGAAGCTATGAAATATCTGTGCAGCTTGGGAGCAGCAATGAGTACTGTGGCAGGATTAGGGCAAAATTCAGAGCAAGGCGAGGGTAACTGGCAGAGCCCTGTGCTTGTGCCTAAATGGCCAGACTGAAAAGACAAGTCTGTACTGTTCATGGAGGCAGCGTGGACTTCCAGGGAGTTAATCAAAAATCACTGTTGGAGGGGCAATGTAATAGACTACTGCAAGTGCCAACTTTGGCCTGCAGAGGTGATACAGAAAGCCATACCTGACAGTGCTAGAAACAGAGCTCCTGTGGCTTCAGGTTACATCTTCCTGCATATAGAACATACTTTTAACATCAAATAGGGCCAAATTTTAGCAATGTGGTTTTGAAAACCAAGGGGAGAGATTAGATATTTTTTTCCCTGCAGTTTTCCATTCTGCCGTCTTTGTATTGCAGCCTTATAAACTTCATCCTCTAAAAATCAAAGCTTGGATTATGATGTGTTCCTGTGACTTTCAAAGGAAGGACATAAGAGCTACCAGATTCCACATAAAGCAGAAAAAAACTGATCTAGATTCATACTTGTTATCATTAAATAAGGCACACAGTGTAGCACGTACGCAACATTGTATGTAAGTAAGCTTGGAGCTTACAGACTTTTAATTTATGAAACAGACCTGCTGTTGTAGTTTTATTGCAGTTTATTCAATCGTAGACATGAATACTCTTGCAAATGTCCTTTATTTTATTCAGAGCACAGCTCTTCTCCCCTGCAGCTGTGGAGATGTAAGGGTGTTGTGAATGTCCGGGCTTCCAGCAGTGTCCAAGTTAATAACACTCTGTGATAGCTGCTGCAATTTCCCGAGGATCGGTAACAAAACACCACTGGCGCGAGATGTCTGCTGGAGAGAGATGAATTAAAGTGTGGGCTCTGCGGAAACCTCGGCAATCCATTCTGTGTGTCTGCCTTTCTAGGGATTTAAACAGGAGAGGGAACGTGTGGGTGGGACAAAGATAAACTTCTTAGAGCTTAGGCTGTTGCTACTCATTATAATTTTGAGCATTTCCCAAGTTGTTTTTCAAAGGGCTTGAGTAATTGCTCCTCAAAGATTGAATTATTCTTTGCATTATTTTTTTGCAATCCTAGAAATTATAATAC